GGAGGAGCAGCAGCTCCCCAGGGAGACCCGCAGCCAAGGCACTTGCTTGCTGATACAGTAACTCCCCGTGCAGGTGACTCATTCCCAGCCATGAATTAAAGATTAAAGCTGCCACACGGGCCGAGCGCAGCGCGCGGGCCTGACAGCTGCAGGGGGAGGAACAGGCTTTTATTCCTGGCTTTTTTCACACCACCAAAGCTGGTCGTGATCCAAACAGATAACAGAGCCTCAGCCCCACAGAGCGCCTGTGACGAGCGCAAGAGTGAGGACGGGGGTGGATGAGTGCTGAACATGAGTCATTGCTGGCTCACTTATGAATGAGGGGTGGGAAGAAGGGGACCGGGCTGCAGAGCTAAGGAAAGAGCCGGAAAAGAAGGGGGGGGGGAGCAGGGAGGGCTCACAGCTTCCCCAAACGCCAGAGACAGGGATAGGAAGGGGTCTGCGCAGGTCGCTGGCTGGCAGTCCCACAGCCAACATGACCACCTCCCAGGTCACAGGGAAATCCCACTGGGGCCTTGCTCAGGGACACCCCAAAAGCCTCCCCTTCAGAGAGGGGCAGCCCCCCGTGCTCGGCAGCCTGCTGCAGCCCAGCTCCTCAGCATGCTGGAGGCTCTGCACTCGGCGAAAAGCTGTCCCTACAGCCAGGGGGGCCGGGGAGAAACCAGCAGCATCAGGCCGCAGAGTGCGGGGGAAGGGGAGGAGTGCCAACGAAAGGGGTTGTCATGACACATCCCGGTCACGGTCCAGGAGGGAGAAAGGGTTCATGACAGCAGCTCTTGCCTGACGTGGCAGCATCTTGCAGGGAGAAGAGGGTAGAGCAGAGCAACGCAGGCAGCGGAGCAGGGCATGAGGAAGAGGGAGCACGTGAGGGTCCCCCGGCACAGCCAGGCTGGCTCTGCACCTCCCATTACTGATGGGGTATCTGGGGCACCACAGGGCATCGGGCTCTGGATGCCGAGGGGGATTCTCAGGGGGCTGCTCAGGACACAGACCTCTTCTCCCTTCTCCTCAACTGGGTCGCATGGACCTACCAAAACACCTTTTTCCAGCCCTTTTCTGCTGCCTGTTACTGGAGCATGATGAAAAGCCCTCCCCACTTTTCCTGAGCAAGTACCCAGGGATATCCCCACCACCAGCGGGCACTCGGTCCCCGTACCTGTGACGAGCGCGAGCACTCCCGCCTCACTGCTGCTTGCAGGTGGAGAGTTTGCGGATCTTGCTGCTGGCAGAGCAGGCCTTGCGGGAGGGGTTGGAAGAGGCGCTTGCTCGCCGCTCTGCCTTCGATTTGGTGCTCAGCTGTCCCGTCTCCGTTCCGTTCATGCACACGGCCTTGGGCAGCCCTTTGCTGCGGCTCTGCCCGTTCTGCCCTGCCTCCTCCTCAGGCACCTGTCCTGCAAGGGAAGCGAGATGGTGAGGCGGAGGGCAGGCAGCTTGCAGCAGAGCATCGGCCCTGCTCCAGAGCATCACTTCAACTGAAGATCAGCTCTTTCAGTCACTCAGAACGCATGTGGCTTCTGAGGAAAACTACAGCAAGTTTGTGTGTCTTCTAGGACTACAGGCAACATAGTCCAAATGGCAACTCCATGAAGCAGGGAGTTTGAGACCGTATCTCCCTCCCTCCTAGCTCCCATAGGTGGGAACAAAGTCCAACTTTACCCACGTTTCTCTCAGGCACACGGGGGTTGGTGGTTCCTAGTAAGCATTCAGTGCAAGCAAAAAACCGAAGACAGACGCTGAGGCAATGAGCGAGCAGTGTGGGCACAGCAGGCCCAGGCCTCCGAGGCTGGGGCTGACTGCGTGCACGCTTCCTCTCTTGGCGGGCCAGGGAGCACGTTGCACACGGCCTGCGCTGGCACCCACGCGTCCCAGACGTCTGCAGTTAAGCTACCACCTTGCAGCGTGAGCACAGGGAAGCGTGCAGCCCTTTCCAGGACCCCGAGCACCGCTGAGCGGGGTGCTCTGAGGGCACACAACGCTCCATATTGATAGTGCCAATGAAGGCTGCAGGAGCACGTGAAGTCAATGGAGCCGAAACTTGAGGCAGCAGTTTGGTCTGTGGCCAGAGCCATACAGCTGGGCAGCCGCAGAGCCAACTCACTCCTCCTCCACAGTTTGTTTTCCTCTCCTCCCTCCCTTTTGTTACCTTCTCTCCAGAAGGGTGCAAGTCAGTCTAAGCTACCTACCTGCAGAGCACCTAGGGGCTTAAGACACGTTTGTAAAACAAATAATCAGCATTTACAATGCATTGGAAAATCTGCTTTGCTCATGAAGTGCAGCCGCTGCGGGGGGTGGGGGGGTGGGGGGAAGGGGGCACAGTTGCTGTTTAAACAGCAATGCAGCAGGGACACAAATGCCACTGTTCCCTAAGGGGCACATCCAGATGTGAGAACAGCCTATGCTGCATCCACTTTCGAGAAGCCCATCTCCCCCGCTTAGGGCTCACTCTGAATGACTCAGCACAGCAGATAGGAGCCTTTTCCAGAGGCATCTGTCTGCCACCATAGCTGGATTCAGGATCAGGTCACATCCATTCAGCCAGGAGTGTTCAGAGGGGAGGGACAACCATACCATGCCCTGCCCTTACAGCCTGGACAGCCCTGGCCCCGAGAGGGAGAGGACCCCATTGCACACGTAATGCGGCACGTCCCCCCATCAGTAACGCAGTGCATCCCCCGGGCGGATGCAGGGCTGCGTGGAGGATTCGTCAGATTCCCAGCTCTCCCCCCGCCCCCCCAAACCGGATCCAGCCAAGGCAATTTCCTTCCAGAAGGAACGTCACGCTCCAGGGCCCTTCAGTTATGACTCAGAGGTTTGAGTGGAAGCGAAGGCTGTAAGGCGATTATGTATAATTTTCTTTAAAGGATGCTCAATCCTTTCCCCACCAAGGCCGAACGGCACGTCATCTCTATACTTGCGCCAACGATCACCCCACCGCTGCTGAGCTCGGGGGAGGAGGGGGACACGCACAGGGATGGGGTGGTGGGAGAGGAGCTTCTCCTTTGGAGAATAGCAAGAGTCTACCCCGACCCCTGCTCTCTCCGGTGCCTCCACGCGTTCCTCCAGGGCATCACTGCTGCTGCAGGGCTATGCAGGTCACTGCTCGCTCTGCTCCCTCCCTCCATCTCTGCCTGGCTTTTACAGGGACTCCTGCAACTAGGCGCAGCAAGTCCTCCCCTGTGGGTAGAAAAGTCATTTGGGAAACAAAAGCTGCAAGGGGGCTTGGAGGTCACTTTCTTTAGACAAGCCCATCTTCAGCACCCACCTTTCTTCCCCCTGAAGGGATGCACAGGGGAGGGATCAGTTTCACTGAACAGTTGCAGAGAAACAAAACAGCAGCCTGGCAGCAGCTGCGACCCAGCCCAGGTCACCAGCCTTCTGCCTCAGCCAAACCACCAGGCTCTGGCCTAACGAGGAACAGCTTTGGTAAAGCCTCACCTGTGCAGAGACAGGGGGGTCATAACCAGTGGAGGAAAGTGCAGGCTGCAGCAATATCCATCAGGCTAGAATAGAAATGCATACTCAGAAACAAGTCAGCAGATTAGTAGCTTCCAAAGCCAGCCTGGACTGGAGCAGGCTGTGAGCACCAGGGAAGCCAGAGTGCACAAAGGTTGGATGTGCCAAGAAAAAAAGCTAGCTTAGCTCAAGAGCTGGGCCTAAGCAGGAATCACCTGGAGAAGTTACCCTGCTGATTTAAACTAGTCAGTTGTGCCTCTGACTTGTTAAAAGTTTGGGAGCACCTGCCCTGTGCTGTGGTTTGGGCATGCCAGCACCCCAGAGTAAGGCCCTCTGAACCAGAACAGCACACACGGGGCCAAAGAGAGGTGAGGCTGGTCTACAAGAGGCTTGGGAAGCACTACCACACAGGGATCCAAAGGCTGCAAGAGAGGGAGGTTAGAATTGATCTGACTGTTGTGGGGTGATTTGGGGTTACAAGTGCAATTGATCCCAGGCAGAAGAGGCTGCTTCCCCCACTGACTTGCTGGTGGGCAGCTGCCCCTTGTATTCCTCCCAGGTGGCTCAACTAAGTCTTGAAACAGCTCCCAGTTACTGGCTTCTTGGAGCTTACCTGAGCATTTCTGCCTTGCCACTGCAAAAGAGAAGGATGAATTCGCCAGCTTGTACAGCTTTGTACACCCAGGCCTATTGCCTCCAGGGCTGATGCCGGACACCTACTGTTCTCCTCAGGTTGGAGCCACCAACCTTGCATCTCCTGGGGAATATAGATCTGCGTCCTCATGTAGCTCATCACATAAAGAACGGAGGCACCTCCATCCATGCCATGGTGGAAGGACCTATTACCAAGGACCTTCCTGAACATGACTGGTAAACTGAGTAGTTCAAGAGCATGAAGCAGAATTAACCACACTCAGCAGCCCTGCCAGTTGCAGACCAGCTATCAATCTGATCCGTTTTCAGCTTCTGATCCCTTAAGAGAGGGTGACTTGATAGAAAAAGCTGAAGCATTCAACCTCTGAAAGCCCCTCTAGAAGCAGGGGACATGCTGGCCGCTCGGAGATCCTCTAGGAACTAGGCTTTCCCCAGTCACTCATGAGTATTCACGGCTCACTATGGTCAAGCTGCTGCCTGAGACCACTGCATCCTGGCCATGCTTCCCCACTCAGAGTTTAGGTTTTATTTTACTTCTTCCTATGTTCTAATTACATGCCTGCAGAGCCTCCAATAGCCCCATTCAGAGCAAAGCTGAACACTTATCCTTCCTCTCCCTCAGCTGAACTCAGGCCAAATCAATTAACATTTTTGACTGGGGAGGGGAAAAAAAAATCTAACCAGCTCATTCGTCTTTTGTGTGATTATTCCTCCCCCTCCCACCCTCCTTCAAAAGAACAATCCCAGAATCTATTATGGATACTAAGGCGGGAGGATGAATTGCAAGCTAATTTTACCTCCTTCACCAACGACAGTTGCTGACGTGCAAATTAATGAAAATAAAAATTCAACATGGGATGAAATCTTGGCAACTGTCTGCCCACGCGGAAGCCAGTGACCCAGTGCCGCGTCTGTTTGAACAACTATCTCCTACCTTACCATTACCAGTTGAACAGTGCTAAAAATAAAATAAATAAAAGGAGGGCTGAGAGGCATTGAGTATGTGCGTGTTCGTCCTTGCCACCTCTCACATTTCTTAATGGCTCTGTCCAGCTCATTCAGGCACAAAAAAAGGTTTCAAAATAAAACCGTGAAGAGCTTTTGAACAGCTGTGTTTGTCAGGTAAACATGCACATGTGATTTGCAGCTAGAAACACATCTTTTCAAATGCCAGGCATTACTTTAAGACTCTAGCCTTGCCTTTGTTTTCCAGCCTCAGGTTGGATGCTAAAGGAGAGAAACAACAACAAAAAAAAGCAAGCTATGCAGCCATTTGCCCCTGCAGGAGGCAGGGGCTGCAGCTGAAGGAGAAGGGTTAACAGGATGGGCGAACAGCAGAGCACAGCCTTCTAAATCTGAAATGCAGCACAAAGGCAACAAGCAAGATGCTTAAATCCATTTACTGCATATGCTCCCTCTCCAAATAAGAAGGCAGCCACTTCTGGAAAGAATGGTTTGTCACGTGCTCAATGTCTCAGTATTCTCTCCTCAGCACTTCCGTCAGATGAGATGTTTAACACAGATTGAACCAGGGGCATGTAACAGTTAAGGCTCTCTATGGAGCTGCATAAATCTTTAAATAACTCTTTAAAAATAAAAGCACATTCTCAAAGCCCCTTCTTTCTCTGAAGAACACAAGATTTAATGAGGTTCCCTCTTGCCCTCGCTAATCAAACACCCACTCCCACCTATGAGTCACAGATACTCATGCTCTTGCTGCCCAAAGGAACTACAACTGAATTGATCAGTCATTAACAAGTTTTTTTTTTTTAATTTTATTTTAATACAATGTCAATCTGTTAGGAGCGTAATACACAGAGCTGAACAAGTTCAAAAGGATCCTGCAGGAAGACCGGGGAAAGAAAGATTAAGTTTATTCTCTTTGCAAGTTGCCCCCTTGCCTTTGCAAATGTCAAAGGCAATAAAGCACAGCCTATACCCAAGCAAGATTCCTTCTTCATCCCCCGTTCCTCACATAAACTATGAGGGAGTCTTGCAGTTCTGGTGAGCAGATTTCTGCCCATCACAAACATTTAACCTGTCAGATTGCACCTCTATATCCCACCTCACCAGCCCCTATTGTCCTTGCTTTTGTTAGGGGTCTTATTTTAAGGTATCTTCACAAGTCCTATGAACAGCTTGACCTTCATTACTCCTGATCACAAGCTGTAGGATAAAATGGAGAGAACGATGCAACACAGCAAACCGGTTCTCAATTGCCCCGTGTTTAAGCCTGAATCAAATATGTTCTTGCCAAGTTTGTGGGCAATCTGGGCTGTGCTTTTTGTCTTTTCTAGAGCAAGTCAAGCCATAGGCGATATGTCTGATGAGAGAAGAATTAGCTCCACGCTGATCAAATACAGTCCTTGATTTGAGAACAAAGAGCCATACGTGTTCAGATGCAAAGGTCTACCTAACCCAGTGCCCTGCTGACAGCAGTCAGTGATGGGTGCTCAGGAAAGCGGCACCAGAACATCCAGCAGAGAACCCTTCTCCTGCTCCAGATGGTCAGTTCCTTGGGGACTTCCTGAGCGCTGTAGGCTACACCCAGACTATTGTGTTTGACAGTGAATGAATCCACCACTCATGGACTTGTCCAATTCAGTCTACCATCTCCACAAAAGCAGAACACCCAAGTGCTAAATAATTAAGGGGACGTTTAGGTTGCCTGGAAACAATGCTTTATTTCACTAGCTACCTGAGCAATATTATACAACAACTCGTGAAATAACTGAAAGGTTCAAAGAACATCACCATTCAAGTTTTAATTAAAAGAAAATCGTGTTCAGTCTACCCACACAGGCTAATTGTAATATGGGAAGTGCTGGTCTATGGGGCCACTATTAAACTTTGGTCTCTAATCCCTCTGAAACAGTGCAAATTATGCATGAGAACTTCACACATCTTCCAGTAATTTGCCTGTCACTTTCTGAAGTGACAGCTCTTATTTGGGTTTAAATACTGCTGTTTGCATTAGAAGTGTATAATAGCTGATATTACCGTTCTGGAGATGATCTCCCACTATAATAGTCACCTGCCTGTGTGTCGGGGGAACATCCACCTCAGCTGGCAGATCAACACTGCTGCTAGCTACTGCTGGAAGAGCACCTCTCACCAGCGCGTGCACGTGCACGCACAGGGAAACAATGCTGCCCGTGGGATGCAGCCCCAGCTACCTATGGCGGTAGGAGGCCCAAGAGTGGATACCAACAGTTGAATAGCAGGAAGGTGTTCTCTTCACTCACTGCTCACATGGGCACACGGTCCACTCCGTGCAGAGGGTTCAACACCAGCTCTCACTGACTGGGAAAGGGATCCCACACATCCTGCTATTCTTCAAAAAAAACCCTGCAGAGCGTTTTTCTCCAATACAAAGGTAACATGCAATGCACAGCAGCAGCACCACGGGCCAGAGACCCTCACCAGCAAGCAGAACAGACACAGATCTCCCCCCTGGGCCTGCTGGACATATGATCACTCCTTAAAGTTGAAAGTCTGCCTAAGTTTTCATCTTTTATCACTCTGAAGTGCATAAACCAGGCAGTAGGCTAATCATTAGTAGAAAAGTCAAAAAGAAGCCAAACGTTTTAACTAGAGTGAGAAAAGTCAGGAACACATCATATGGGTGAAATCATTCAGTATGGCAGGACTGGAGAAATGGGCTGGATTACACAGGCAGAATAACCCACTCTAAAAGGGATGGAGTTAAAGAAATCAGTCATAATTTGAGCTACTCAGCAAGTGTCACAAGCTGTGCTTCTTCCTCAGCAGCATGCTGGACCCCTACAACTAGCCTGTGTTTAAAAATACAAATCCAAAAAAACTAAAGAAAGATTCCACTGCAGAACAGAATTATCTGCTTTTGAAATAATTCAACTACCTTAACAATGGGAAGCATCTTGAAGCTTGGGGAAAGCAAGGAGATGATTCTGCACTCTCCAGCCACTGCCATTAGCTCAGGCCACAGGAAGCACAAGAGGGCAGTGACTCTCAAACCTAGGCTAAGCTTGCCACTCCTCTTCTATGCTCACGGCTGATGGGAGCACAGCTTCCTCTCCAGACAGCTTGACTCAACTGCTCAGTGCTCTGCTCTGTCCTCTAAGCCCTGCCTCAGCTTCCTCCTTTGCAGCTGGGAACGCACAGGAAAGCAACAGAGCACTGTTAGAAATATACATATGCTTATTCTCTAGACTGATGCCAAAGAAGCAATAATAGACTGTCCTGTGGGTTCTTGGGTTTTGCTGCTAGGTAGTCAAGCGCTAAGTGCAACAGATCTACTCCTACAAAGCTCCTCATACAGCAATTTCAGAGGAGTTTAAATCATGCATTTAACCTCAATTTAAAAGGTGCTATAAGCACTAGAGTAGAAGCAGGATAAAGTCTGGGATCCCACTCCCACCAGAACTCTCACTTGGTCCTTCAAGGGACATTATAGGCACACATAAACCAGCCACACCTTCCTTCTGCCTCTTGAAACCAGTTCAGAAAGGAAGCATTGCATTAGAAATGGAAGGCATCTGGCAAGTTCTCTTCTTTCCTGCTCTTGTGCTTAGATAGGCCCTAGCAATCAAGTATTTGCTTCAATGAGTCTATCATTTTTTAAAAGGAACCCTCCTTTTAAAAAGTCTCCATGAGGCTATGTGAAAAGCCCTGGCCCTGGTCAAATTCTAAGATTAAAAAAAGTGTGGGATGTAAGAAGAGAGCAAAGAACAGGAAGCTCTGCAGGTCACCCAGCTGGCATTGGGACATCAGTTCTGTTAGAAGAGGTCTGACTGTCACCAGTGAATCAGCACTTGGAATAATCCATTTCACTTTGATGAGGCTCCTTCCATCTTGGCAGGCTCTACCTCCGACCCACCTACATATCCGTTTGGCTGAACGTTCATGCAGGCTCCCTGTTGGGGACTGTTACCCAAGGATGCCACATAGCATGGAGCTAAGACTCCGCTGGCTCAGTCTGCTTGGCTCGCTCAAAGCGGTCTCTCCTGCCTTCTATCCCTTGATAAGAGCTACCTGGGAGGCCAATCTTGGTTTAAGTTGTTGCCCAAGAGAATTTTGGACATTGGGTACAACTCAAAGCTAATATCTGCCTGACACTATTCTTCCATGATGGACTGCTTCCTGACTGAGCAGGATCAAGAAAACTATGTCCATCTAACCAGGAAACCAAGAGCAAGACAAGGTCTTCAGGCACAACATTTTGCACAGGTGGAACCAGACTTTGCCTATACTCAGACCTACAGAATCCCACCTGTCTATCAGAAGAGAAACTGAAACTAATTTGGCGAGTCCTGCACTACAGAAACTAGGGCTTTCCCTTATCAGCTGAGAAGGCTCAGTCCCAGCTACTTTGAATCACACTGTGGTAAAGTATATCAGCACCCCTACAAATAGTACTTAAAACCTTCCCTCGAAAAAAAACACAAAAAAAACACCCCAATAAAACTAAGCTAGAGCACACTGAAGACTTCAGAACAATTAAGTTATGCGTGGATTTAGGAAATGAGAGTATAGACAGGGAGACAAAAATTGCTGCCTCAGTTGACTAGTAGCACTGCTAGCAGTGACTGCAAAGACAACCAGTCTTTGTCTTTATCTCTTCCCAAGGACATGCCCTTCAGTCTTCTCCTCACAAGTTAACACAGCTTATAGAAACAGAGGGGCCAGAGAAGAAAAACTACTTGATTTCCACCACTATTGCAAAAACTGCTTGGTTAAATCCACGCATCCAACCCACTACTCCAAATTCTGTACTTACTGGTTGGCTTACTTTAAAAACAGGAGAACCCAAACAAAGAAAGAAGCAATTCTGTAATCAAACAGTTACAAAGACTGGAGCAGAAAAAATAAGTCTCAAAGTACAAGGCTATAAGTACCCTTCTTCCCCAGATGTGCCATCTACTCTGAACACTGAGTCATTTTAGGGCTCCGATCCAAAATAACTCAAAGATAGTCTAGTAAAACTGGCCAAAAGAATTAAGTGTGCTGAACAACAAGAATCATGCAGGAAAAAGCTATTACTGGATGCAAGGAAGGAAATTGGCATGTGGGTAACACACAGGAAGGGGCATCTTGTTTGATCAAATAAAGAACCAAGACATCCGGAGCATCGTGGCTCACTCAAACACTGTGCGTCACTCTCACCACTTAATAATCAATAGTCTCCTCAACTGCTGAAAGCTCAAACCTCAGGGCCTTTCCTGAAACCTTTAAACAGGCATGAAGGAAAAAGATAAAACAAAACAAACATTCCTCTGCCCTCCTCATCCCAGCATCCTTCTCTCCTACCTGGTACTGTAAAGTCCTGAGTGTAGATGATATCATCTTCAATGTCATACAGGTCATCATCTTCTTCCTCATTGTAGCCATGCAGATCTTCCAGATAAGGCACCGCCGTCATACTCCTCCACCTGTCCTTTGTCTCCGGGCTGGGAGGTATGGGGACCAGAGCCTCTGCCTGAGCATGTTTCTTACGAAACCAACTGCAAAGAGTCCAAGAGCAGAGTTTCATCAGTATAGCTTCACTTTTAGAAGGTATAAGGAAGTCTTTGCTATTTGAGATGGTTCCCATTCCACCCTAACATTCAAAGCTACGGAGTTCTCATTTGTAGAAATTTTGCTAGCCAGTTTTATGTCACTGCAGGTTTTTATTGTACAATAACCTAGAGAGGCAAATTTCAAGAAAGTCAAGCCTTGGTCTTGCTGGCTGTACTGCAGGGACTCTAACAGCTGCGCAAGCCACCTCTCAAGGTTTTCCAACCAGTGGGTGCTTTGCCATTTAAGAAGCAACTTTAACAGGTCTGCCCAGCTGTTAGCATATTGGTGTCTACTGCAAGATATACTTGAGTGCATGGCATCCACAGAAGCATGGCTCAGAAGCTGGAAACAGAACATTTTATCCAACACCAATTCAAGCCCAAACCAGAGAGACACAGAAAAAATACTGTTCCCTACCTCTAGGTCATAACACAGTAGAGCTGCCAGAGCTCCTTTCAATTGTATTATCCAAACAAGCAGAAGGAAAAAATTCTACTTCTATCCTAAAGCCGAGGCTAATGCAGCATGAGAAGGCAGAAGAAAACCTGGAGAGCGCAAGGCAAAGGAGAATGGTATTTACCCCCAACTCCTTTTAAAAGGCAGTTCTCAGCAAGATCACAGCAAAGATGCTTTATACCTTTCTATCTCACCTCTGCCTCAAGAGACTTCTATTACCATTAAAACCAGTATCCATAGCACTACCATCTGCCCAGTAAAGTTGCTCAGCACTAAAAGCTTTTCTTAACTAGATCAAGAATCCAACAGGCTTGCATTATGTCAGTATCTCAGGAGCCACATGGGTGGCCATTCACATTTTTATTGTGCTTTCATACCTGGGTTCCAACACCAGCCTGTCCCTGGGACATTTGTTAGTGCTGCATGCTGGCACTGAAACAGTTTCTTAGATGCGCTGCCAGAGTCTCTGCACCCCTGGCAATCTTCTCTTGAATGCAGGTATGACATTCCTCCAGGACCCAGATACCCGACATGCCTTTCCATCCCACACACCTTCCTCTCACCATAACAAGCCCTTGCTCCCCCTGCAATGCCTCCTGACCTCCCATCAGCAGGGAGAATCAGCTGCCTATAGCTAAAGATTTAAAAGGTCAGGCTTTGGCCATCCAACTGCTCTCTCCCCTCCTAGAGGAGCTGTGCTGCTCTATTGCCTTTGTGCCTGCCCTGCTGAGCAGCCGACTGTCCCTGCTACCAGGGAGGCTGTCACGCAGAAACACTTCACAAGGCTGTTTCTTATGCCTTGCCCTGGAGGGTCATCCCACATGAAGGAAGGGACAGAAAGTATCAAAGCTCTCACAGCCAGTACTAGCTTCTGCATAGCAGCCCAATACTGGCACTGATACTAAAACCCTACTTCTGGACTGGGTGTCAGTTAAGCCTGTGGGACATCATCTTCCTGGTCTTTGCATAGTAAGAAAGGAAACAAACTTCATCAGGTCAACTGCACTGTTTACTAAGGTGAGCGCAACATTATTAAGTAGGTGCCACTTATGTGCATGAAGGGACATTCAGACACTTTCACAGCAGGAGCTAGCCTAGGAAGTCTAACATTTTCCCTTCTCCTGAATTTTATTTAGGCCACAAAAAGGTGCAGCTTTAGGAATCAGCTTAAGGTCTCTCCGAAAACATACCTCAAAAGCGGAGTGAGGAAAATCTAAAAATATGTCCTCACTGCACATTTACTTCTTGAACTATCTCTGACTGCTGCCCTAAATGAGCCTAATGTGAGACGAACATCTTCCCCCTCACCCCCCCCATAGTTCACATAGATATCAAGTAACTTCTAGCTAATAACCACCGAGGAGAGGATGAAGCCAAAGAGCTCTTATAAACCTGAGCCATATGTTTTTTTACCCCTCCAGCTCCAAATTCATTTTAGGAAATAAGGGTTGGATGCACCTCCTGCACAGAAAAATTGTAATTATCGTTTTGTTCTAGTCTTACATTGCTTCGACAGTAGGCCTTAAAAAACATAGCATTCTAATAAAACTATCCAATGAAAGCAAGGAGTCAGGAGATAAACAAAAATGTAACTACTGGGACAAATCAACTAGCATTCAAAGGAGACGTGAACCCATATTCAGAAATTCTGCTTCACAATTAGCAAATATGATTTCAAAGTAAAATTATAAAGCAATATAAAACAGATCAGCTTCAAGTCTATCTGTTGGGGAAGACTCTGGCTTGCCTTTCCCCAGTCTGAAGTAGGCTTTGAAAAAAGGTGCTCCTCTCTGCCAAAGGCATGTGGAAAAAAAAAGCTATTGTTCATACCTTGTCAGTTTAAAAGAAAAGTTACATTTCTATGCCAGCCATTGTTCAACGGCAGGCTTATATTTCTTATCTCCTTCTTGAAGGGTTTCAAGTGGACAGCTGATGGCATCTATGCTTTTGGTACGACAGCTCAGTTTTGTAAGCGCTAAGCACTAGTAACTTTCTCAGAAGATGGTCTGAAGCTGGTCCTTAGAGGAACAGTGGCAGCTGTGGGGTTTCCTGCATGGACTGTGAAATCAGTGCTCCAACCTAGGGCATTTGAGCTCTGTAACCATGCAGCAGCATTGCAATAGTTCATCCAGTGCTAACTGCACTAGATGTCAACCTTCTTGCTTTAGGAAGTTACACTGGGTGGCCAGGTTGCCACTGAGCTTCTCTAGGAGGGATGCTCAGAAATGTGAATGCCTCCAGAGAAGCTGGAGGGGACTTTGAGACTTGTGGGTAGGCACAAGCTTTATGATCATACAAAGGCCTGAGAAACCCACACTTCTCAAATTTCAGATCTCTTGCATGGGAAAGACAATAGTCTTCCAGCTATCTCGCACTAAATTCTCAGGAAGATCTGAGAACACATCCTTAGGTTGTTTTCTCTGGAGTGATTAAGTCAATCTACCACTCTGCGAGGAAGCCAGCATCTTGCCGCTTGCAGCGAGGAAGAGTCAGTGATGTGAAGTGGCCCCTACATCCTAAATTTGCAAGAGGAAATTTTGGTTAATCACAGAGCATGTCAGCACCACGTAAGGAATCACGTTCAGCCCTTCCATGCTTATAGTCTGAATGGATGGACAATGTCTCAAATAGCTATAAGATTAGCATGTTCCACTTATGCATTGATGCAGATTTCTTCCATGGCCCTATCATGGCAATACTGGAAACCACAGTGAAAGAGGCATATTTTAGGAAGTGATATGAAACTGCATGCAGATCTAGTTCATCAAGGATGGCCTCTAGTCCATGAAGGTGGCAATATGAAAGTCAAATAAGAGGTCATCCTTGCTACTGGACTAGCAGGAATCAGCATGTCCAGTGTAACTAGATTTTGGCCAACAGTTTTAGCAAATCCTGCTGATAATTTGATCATCACCGAGGAAGCTAAGTGTTGTGTGCCATGCACATTTGATTTCCCTGATGAAAGCAGTCTCCCAAGGAAAGGAAGTGACTGTCAAGACAGCAAATTCAGCCTAGGCTGATCTAGCCTGGCAGGATTATCTAGCACAGGAATAGAAGACCCAACACAGCCACCAGCTATTTTTGCCAGGGGCACTGGAGCTAGATGGAACTAAACTAAATGCTAGGAACTTCAGGAGAATGGAATACACAAAACAAATAAGATCAGAATGACTGCCATAAAAAAAAAATTAAAGGAAGAAAGACCAGACATCTCTAGCAGCTAGTGTTTTTATTTTGCTGTATTTCAGCTCAGCCTTTTTCTTTCTTTCTGCCCTACTTACCAGGAGAGTAAAAATAGGTTTTATTAACAGCTGAAGCCTGAATCACTGTACTCTAGTCATAAATCATTCCATCCTCTGGGAGGTGATTTCAAATACTTGCATATGCATATATGGTAATGAGGATGTAGAGTGAGAAGAGAAATTCATTGAAGTTCTAAGAAAATCAAAGACCTCTTGGAAGGAGCCTCAAGCAATTCTATATGGAGTAGCAGAGTATTTCCTGGCAAGCATTTCTCCAGCAGGGAGAGGGATTCTGCTTTCGACGGTGGTGCTGAAGACATTAGTGAAGAGAAGATTTGCTGTTCAGCTGAGGACCACTGGCTCCATCAAATGCCCTAAAACAGCTCAGGATGCTACTGGATACCAGCTATGCTAGAAAGCAGCTACTTTTCTACATAGTAACTATTCAATTGGACAGTGATGTAGAGAAGATGAACATCCCTTCCTCACCCTGCCTTCATCACTGACATTAGAAGTATTCCAGTCCAGCCTGTGCTTTATCAAAGAAGTACTGTACTTGACCTTTTATTCCCAAACAATTTCACTGCTAATTTCTGAGCAAACTGCACTGGAACATCAAACACAGCAATTGACTTGGCACCAACAGACGGTTTCTTTAGCAGCTAAGGGGGAGAAAAGGTTTTGGCAGATCTCAAAAGTGCTACCTGCACAGAACACAGTCCCTGGAAGAGGCAGATTCCTCTACCGTCTGTGAAGCATTTCTTTGCCACTCCCAGCAACTTGAAACAGACGAAGGGAACAATAGCAGGGGAAAGAGGATTTCCTACTACTTTGTAAGCTTGTTGAGAATGCTGTGAGGCACAGAAACTCCAGGCAGCAGTAGCAGGAGTATTAATGGTTAAACTGCCAATTCAGAAGTGGCATCCAGAAGGGTTGCTATAATCTACAGGGAGTTAAGACAGCAAGGGTCAAAGACTGAATGACAAAAAAATGAATCTAGGTAGACCAGGGCTTAATGAGTCCGTCTGGTTTGCAGCTTCTAAGATCAAACATTACATTAGAAGTAATCACTCTGTTCTTTTCAAGTTCTAGTATAAGTGAGGTTAAAATAAGAATCAGTAAGCACAGCTGCAGCTTCCAAATACTTATGGCTAATTCACTTCCCATTCTAGGTCACAAATATTTCAGTTTGCTTGTTTTGGATATGAACAGTTTTCTCTGAAACCAGATGCCAAGTTGCAGGTCTCCATCCTGCCAGAAAAAGATAGGTTATGAATGGTTCTCCACCTCGCATCACATCATGTAAGGGGCTTCAAGCTTACTGGAAGGGCACAATCACCACAAACAACTAGCAGCATTACAATTTCATTCAGCTGTCTTCATGCAGACAAACGTGGAAGGCACACAACAGTATGCCTGGGAAAGGCAACACATGCAAGTAATACATGTATAGTGCAATCATTGCTCCAACTCCTATAACATCAAGAAATATTCAGCTGACTTCTTAAGTAAGGTTCAGCAAAAACTAGAAACAATTGAGAGACAGTTTTCCCCTAGCTGATGTTAGGCCCAGGGGTCACAGTTCAGACTCCTACATAAGAGGAGAGTGGTGTTCTATGCACAGATGGGGGTTCCCAATTCCTTTAACACACCATACATAGTTGCATTATGAAATTAATTTGCAAAACATGGGTTGAAGAACTAAAGATTCCTTCCCATGGGCCTGCCACAGAGAAATAAGCAAAACCCAGGTGCCTAAACAAGAAAGGAAGGGAGGAGAGTTTGTGCTTTTCCATCTGTCATCTCACACTGAGGAGAGATTACTGCATGACACCCCTGATACAAGAGAGATGGGAAAAGCCTGTCAGTACGCATGCTCCAGCGGCGATGAAGGGAAACCCCTCTCAAGCTCAGGAATCCAGGCACACGAGTCAACGAGCATGCTCAGCGCCTGCAAAGCATGGGGAAACACAAAGGCAGATTCCAAGGGCTTCAGCACACAGGATTTGAACATGGAAAAGCATCCAATAGTCACCCTCTGAATCTCTTAGATGAGCACCAATAAAAGGTGGAAGTGTCTCCCCTTTCTTGCTATAAGCTCTTGGAACCGTATCTATGACTGAAAAAATTAAGCGTGACACTTCTGGAGAAAGAAGGCAAGATGGTTGCCTTGGAAACAAGGGACAGAGGTAGATTTCTGCATCCACTTCATCACTTCAAGTACTGTAGCAGGGTCACTGAATTACTTACAAAATGCAGTTTAAGAGCATTAAGCCCTTCAGCAAAAGAACAAGGTAGAGAAGAGATGGTGAATAATCTATAGGGAGAAGTTTGCTAATGCCCCGGCTCTTGGCAGCGTCTCTCTACTGCCCCCGAGCCCAGGGGTACAAAATACTCAGGGAAATGACCAAGCAGCGTCCGTTTCCCAGTAAACATCCTCCTATCCAGCCCCTCTTGGGAAGAGCAGCTTTCAAGGCTCTTCCATGATAACTAAGAGGTCAACTTCTGGCAGTTCATAACCTCTTTGATGACAGGCTGAGAGTTTTAATTCATTCCATTTCAATTTACAACCAGTAAGTCCACACTGCACAAACTGACTAGGCTCAAAAAGCCTTTGAAAGTAAAGAATGGGCTAAG